GCAGGATTAGTGATCCACCTCCACCTCTTTTCCTAGGTTAAAAGGTAAAGCCAATTTACAAAGCTGCTAGGAACCAAAGGGACAGAAGCTGTTTCTTCCCAAGATTCCCACATATTCCTATTCAAGTTTCATGTCAAAAGGGATCTGTACTGGGCTGGGAATGTGGCTTTGAGGTAGAGTGCTTGCTTAACATGCATGAAACCCTGAGTTCAATTCCTCATTACCATATAAACAGAAAAAGCCAGAAGTCACACTGTGGTTCAAGTAGAAGCCTTGAGCAAAAGAATCTCATGGACAGTGCCTAGGCCTTGAGTTCAAGCCCCCAAAAAAGTGTGTGTGGGGGCTGGGAAGGTGGCTCAGTGGTAGAGCGCTTGCCTTGCATGCATGAGGCCCTGGGTTCCATTCCCCAGCACCACATAAGCAAAAGGAAAAAAGCCGGAAGTGGCGCTGTGGCTCAAGTGGTAGAGTGCTAGCTTTGAGCTGAAGAGCTGAGGGACAGCACCCAGGCCCAGAGTTCAGGCCCCACGACCAGATCAAAAAAAAAAAAAAAAAAAGTGTGTGTGTGTGGAAGATCTCTAATGCTCTGGTGGGAGAAACTAGAACCACATGGGGCAGGGAGGGGTTCTTTGCTTTGAACTGAGAATAGATTTACTCATTTTTTACCTTCCATCTTCAGCCAGCCTCAAGACAGAAGACTTCTTGCAGCAGGACTCAAGCCCAGATCATCAGAAGTAGCAGAGAACCTCACTTATGTAACTGTAACCCTTCCCTCTGTACATCACCTTTATATCACTTTTTAAGTTTTTGTTTTCTTTTTTAAGAAGCAAACCAGGCGCTAGTGGCTCATACCTGTAAACCAAGCTACTCAAGAGGCTGAAGTCTGTGAGACTCTAATCTCCAATTAACCACTAGAAAAACTGGAAGTAGCACTGTGGTTCAAGTAGAGAGCTCACATTGAGCTGAAGAGCTCAGGGACAGCACCAAATTCAGGGCCCAGAATTCAAGCCCCATGATCAACCAAAAAATGAAATAAAAGACTGCAATGCTGTGCATCTGGATTTTATTTCCTTTTTCTTTTTTTTGTGTGTGTGGCAGCACCTCCTTAAAACACCCAAGCTAAGCCGGGTACCCGTGGCTCACGCCTGTAATCCTAGCTACTCAGGAAGCTGAGATCTGAGGATCACCCAGGCAGGAAACTCCATGAGGGTCTTATCTCCAATAAACCACTAGATGGGCTGGGAAGGTGGCTCAGTGGTAGAGTGCTTGCCTTGCATGCATGAGGCCCTGGGTTCGATTCCTCAGCACCACATAAGCAAAAAAAGCAGTAAGTGGTGCTGCGGCTTAAGTGGTAGAGTGCTAGCCTTGAGCTGAAGAGCTGAGGGACAGTGCCCAGGCCCAGAGGTCAGGCCCCACAACCGACAAAAAAAATAAAAAAACACTAGAAAACCAGAAGTGGCGCTGTGGCTCAAGCGGTAGAGCACTCACCTTGAGCTGAAGAGCACAGGAATAGCGTCCAAGCTCAGAGTTCAAGCCCTATGACCAACAAAAACAAAACAACAAAACAGCCAGGCTCGCCTCAAACTCATGATCCTCCTTTCTTTACCACCAGAATATTGAAATTATAAATATTCACCACTAAGCCTGGTTGGACCTAGATTCGTGTGTGCGTGTGCATGTGCGTGTGCCAGTCCTGGCTGGACCTCACGGCCTGGGCATTGTCCCTAAGCTTTCTTGCTGAAAGCTAGCACTCAGCCACTTCAGCCACTTTCCAACTTTTTCTGTTTATGTGATACTGAGGAATGGAACCCAGAGTTTGATGCATGTTAGGCAAGCATTCTACCATGAAGCCACATTCCCGGCCAGTACTACCATCTTAAAAAGAAAAAAAAAAATCCTAGGAATTTAGAAACTTTAGCTTTTTTTCTTCATGGATGAGGAGGGAAGCAGTAATGGAGATTTACTGTAGATTGAACCTCATACTACTGAACACATGAACTTCCCCTAAGCTGTTTCAGAACTTTCTTTTTAAAAAAAATTTGGTGACACTGAGGTTTGAATTCAGGACCTCTTGAGTCATGCCTCCGGCCCAGAATTTTTTGTGTGTGGTACTATTGAGGGCTTAACTCAGGGCCTGAGTGCTGTCTCTTACCTTTTCTGCTCAAGTCCAGAGCTCTACTTGAGCCACACCTCCACTTCTAGCTTTTAACCAATAGCTAAGGTTACAGGCACAAGCCACCCGTGCCCACAGCAGGAATTTTAATTCTTTTTTTTTTTTTGCCAGTCGTGGGGCCTGAACTCTGGGCCTGGGCGCTGTCCCTCAGCTCTTCAGCTCAAGGCTAATGCTCTACCACTTGAGCCACAGCACCACTTCCAGATTTTTTTTTTGCTTATGTGGTGCTGAGGAATCGAACCCAGGGCCTCATGCATGCAAGGCAAGCGCTCTACCACTGAGCCACCTTCCCAGCCCCCAAAGTTGTTTTTTTTTTTTTAAGTACATGTTTCACTTTACCCTCACCCATGTCCTTCTTCTGCATCCTTTGCCTGTACTTGTTCTCTCAGCTGGCACTCTATCACTTAACCAACTCTTCCAGCCCAGCTTTGTACTCTGGAGTTGTAGTCTGAGATTTATCTGCCTGGGCTATCTTAGAACCAAAATCCTCCAAACCTCTGCTTCTTGAGTAACTAGGATTACAAATGTGAACCACTAGCACCCCATTTCCTTGGCCTGTTGTGGGGCTTAAACTTAGGGCCCAGGTGATGTCCTGAGCATTTATACTCGAAACTAATGTTCTACAACTTTAGTCAGCTCCACTTCTGAATTTTTGGTTAACTGAAGATAAACAGTGTCATGGATTTCTTTTCCTGCCTGGGCTGGCTTTGAACCTCAGTTCTCAGCACTTGAGCCACATCGCCACTTCCTGTGAGGCTTTTTTTTTCCTTGGGTCCAGTTGTGGGGCCTAAACTCTGGGCCTGGGCGCTGTCCCTCAGCTCTTCAGCTCAAGGCTAGCACTATACCACTTGAGCCACAGTGCCACTTCCGGCTTTTTTTTGGAATGGAACCCAGGGCCTCAGGCATGCAAGGCAAGTGCTCTACCACTGAGCCACCTTCCCAGCCCTCCTGTGAGACTCTTATCTCCACTAAAGATATCAAAAAGCTGAAAGTACAGCTGAAGTTCTAGCATGCCCCAGGACAGAGTTCAACCCCAAGGACTGGAAAAAGAAAAAAAAAATCCTTTATCTTGTTGATAAGGTTTATTAAAAGGTAATTTCCTTCTTCCCTTTCTGATCAAAGGATATCCCGGGGATCTTAAGTTATCTTGGTTCTAAAAACTGGCTGAAGTTAGGGGGCTGGCCGGGAATTTGGAAAGACTGATCAACTTCCAACCTCAAAGAAAAAACAACAGATAACAGAAATTTGCTGACACCTGGTGGCTTGCCTGTAATACTAGCTACTCAGGAGGCTGAGATTTGAAGACAGTGGTTCAAAGCCAGCCCAGGTAGGAAAATCCAGCAAAAAAAAACCCACTCAGGGACAGTGCCCATGCCCTGAGTTCAAGCCCCAGAACTGGCACTAAAAAAAAGTAAACAAAGCCCCAGCAAGTCTGGTGGTGGAAAGTCCTAGATAAGGGGAAAATCTGGACAATGACTGGACACAGTGGGAAAATCCTTACTTTCTGACTATGTAACTCCACAAGAACAAAAATCTTCTACAGTGAAATGATATTCAGTGGAGGCTGTATCAGGACGAGGCTGAACACAGCACATATTTCAAAACCATATGTTCAGCTTTGGCAGGAAATGTAGGTGGGAAGGGAATGTCTATGTTAGGGAATGCCCGCTTCACTGTAGCTGGCTAGTTATGAAATCAAGACACACACAAATATTTGGCCAAAACACCTTTAATGATGAGAGGAAAGATACTAGCATCTCCTCTCTCTGCTCTGACATTTCACTATGTTAGGAAGCTCTGGAGTCTACAACTTCAGAGAAGGGGGCCATCATTCAGGACCCTCTCTTCTCAGAACTCCCATTCCAAATGATTCTATGTTAAGAGTAAACACTACATTTCATTACAAGACAGGGAGGAACTACTTGAAGCTTGTCCCCCAAAGTCTGTGGACTCTTAGAACCAGACAATGGCAGACATACCCCTAGTCCATAATCAGGCAAAACTGGAGAGGAAAGGGATTTTGAGAGAGGATGGTGAAAATTACAAGGGCCAGGAGATAAAGGAGGGAATTATCTAAAACTAGAAGGAAACTATTGCTAGGAAATCCCCCATGATCCCCAGTGTAAGACTGAGAACTCTAATATCACTATTAGCCCAAAAGAACATTCATGAGAATGTCCATATTCATAAGACTTCACATCCCCTGCTCCATAGGTTCCCAACAGTATTTATGCTTTAGCAACGTTCTACAATTTTCTAGCATTAGTTCATCCATGACCCTCACCAACAACTTTGTAACACTTCCCAAAATACCTTCTTGGCAAATTTGCTTGTTCCTCAACTTTAAAAGGCCAAGATGAATGAGGGGCTAGAGATGTCCTTGCATAGTGACTAGTCACCTTTTCTTGAATGTGACAAATCGAGATTTACTGGGAAGAATAGCCCAAGCACTTCATTTCCCCCTCCCTCCTAGGGTTGAGCCACCACTTGCTAGGACATCTTCTTTACTAGCACCTTCTGCAGCAGGGGGAGGGAGAGGGAACATTCAGTTCATTACTTCTCTTCTATGATGAACTTCTTAGGTACTGCTTTGGATGCAGGCTAAATTGGAGTAGGGCTATCTTCTCCTTGGCCTTTCTGGATCTCTGTTGAGTCATCTTCCCAGGCACAATTTCTAGGTCAAACAGCACTGATAATGCCAAGCCTAAAGTGGTGGTAGAGGTGAGGCTGGAACTCCAGAGTTTTGGTGGGCACAGCAATGTGACAGGGAAAGCTGTGTAATGGTTGCGCAAAGATAGGGAATCCACCTCTACCTCCACAGACAGGAAGGTCTTGGGACAAGTAGTCCTCAGCAAGGGGTGACACTGGGCCTTTGAGAGCAAGCTGCCAGACCCTTCAGTCTGGGTTGCAATTGCAAAGATGGGTGCTTAGGTGCACCTGCCAAAGGGAAAGGAAAAGGAAGAGGACAGGAGTCCTCTTGAGAATGTAAAAGCTGCAGAAAGCCTATTTTCCTCAGTTACAAGGAATGTAGAGGGGATTAAAAATTCCTAAGGGGGCCATCCTCTTGGAAGCACAAGAATTCCTAAGCTCAGAGACTAGAGAAAAAGCCACTAGAGACATATCATGTAAGAACTCAGAGAAAAAAGACAAAATACCTGGGGAGGTCCCTCTGTGGAGCTCTTGGTTTCTGCTTCCTGGATCAAAGGATAGCAAGTATAGATAACAGAATTAAGGGATTGTAGGGTCATCTTTTCGAGGGAAGGGAGAGATCCCTGGGGAAGCAATAGAAGGAGAACAACTAGGGACCAAGGACAGAGCGGCAATATTCTGAGGGCCGTGGGGGGCAAAGGGTGGTACCTGGTGGTGAGCCAGCAGCATATGCTTCTTGAGGGTCGCCCGCTCAAGAAAGCTCTGCCTGCAAAAAACACAGGTGAAGAGCAGCCCCTCCTTGGGGTGGGTCTTCTGATGCTCCTCCAAGGCTGTCTGAGTAGGGAAGGTCTGGCTGCACACCTCACAAGCCTTTCTGCTGCTGCTCTCCCCTGGCTCCTTTCTCACAGTTTCCTGTAAGCTCAGCTCCTCTACCAAAGGGGTGCAGGTACCTTCTCCTTCTTGGGGGAGTGATGTCGCTGGGCTGGAGCTCCTCTCAGGTTTGACCCCCTCTTCCTTGCCGCCTGAAACATCATAGCTGTCCTGCTCCATTGGTTGGGGTTGATCCACAATGTCAGGAGGAGGTGGTGGTGGCAGAGAACACTGCTGAGTGGCTTTCTCATTACCATCCATCTCCTTCCCAGAGGCCACTGCTATGGCTATCCCCGCTTCCTCCTCTGCCCCAGATGCCTCTTCTGAATCACCTCGCACTGATATTGCTTTCTCACCCCCGCTCTCTGAACCTCTTCCTGCTAGGGAATCTTCATCAGTCACATCTTCTTCTTCTTCCTCTTCCTCCTCCTCTTCCTCAGACAATTCCTCTTCTGGTGATGGCTGTTGGGTTTGCTGCTGCGGAGGGAAGCTTCCTGCCCCAGAGACTGCAGACTGCTCAGAGCCATTCTCCTGGGCAGCTCCTCCGCTCTCAGGGAGTGTGGTACCTCCATTTGGGATCTGGCCTCCCAGATGCATTCGAACATGCTGCTGCAGAGTAACCGCATTAGTGAACTTCTTCTGGCAGATAGGGCAAGAGTTCTGGGCCCGGGCAGCTGGACTGGCCTTGTGGCCCACAAAATGTGCACGAAGATTGCCCCGGGTGGAAAAGGCTCTGCCACACACTTTGCATTTGAAGGGTCGCTCACCTCCATGTTGGCCATAATGCAGGCGCAGGGCTCGAGGGCAGCTCAGCACTCGGAGACAGATGACACACTGGTTAGGTCCAGAAGAAGCCGAAGGTGATGGCGCAGGGGCAGAAGTGGTGGGGGCTCCTGAAGCAGTAGAGCCCACGGCCACGGCTCCTTGTCGGTCAATCTTCTCTACCAGCTGTTGTAGCTTTGATGTCTCCGAGGGTGAGGCTCCCAAGGGCTCCAGCACATAGGGGAAAGGGAAGCTGCCAGTGGACTTGAAGTGGTTAGTAAGCAGTGCCCAGCTTGGGAGTGAAGTCACCAGCTTACTTAGCTGCATCCGGGCTGCTGGGCCACTTTCGGCCACTCCACTGATGGCTGAGCCTTCACTTCCTGGGGGAGTGTTTTCATCTGCCTTATTTTTGGGCTCCACTGCTTTCATGAGCACAAACTTATTGAAAGCAGGGAGCCCAGGGGCTGTAGCTGTGCCTGCACCAGTAGACAGCAGCGTCAGACTCTCTGTGGCACTAAGTGCTGTGGTGGAGGCTACCAGAGGCTTGCGTTCAACACCTCCACCTGGTGTGACTGCCTCTTCTTCAGCTTTTTCGGGTGGCACAGACATGCCATAGGGCAGGCCACTGCTGGTAATGACATAGTCTAGGTGCTCTGGAACAGGATGTGGGTTCATTTGCACATGTGGATACTTCTCCCGATGCCGGTGGAAATGGACTTTGAGGTTGCCTCGGGTGGTAAAGCGGTTGCCACAGACGTTGCACTTATAGGGCCTCTCGCCAGTGTGAGAACGAAGATGGATCTGCAGAGCGCTGTCACTGCCGAATACTTTGGCACAGAAGCGGCATTTGTGCCTTCCCCCAGTCTTCTCTAAAGGACCCATGACTTCCCCATAGCCCAGCTCGCCACTTCCATTCTTTGGCTTCAGGAGACCTGGAGAGGCAGTAGCCTCAAGGCCCCTGGTGGCTCCAAGACACTGTGCAGCCAACAGTCCTGTGGTGCCTGGGAATGCCAGATGAGGGGAAGTAACCAGCTGCTCTGTGCTGCCTGGCAGGGCTGAGGAGGGGGCAGGGGTAGGCTTGTGGCTTCGTCCAACCCCACCAGCAGAGAAGGAGTGCTGTGACCCCAATGGATGATAAAGGTGAAAGAAAGCCTGCTTCGGTGTTTCCGCCCCTGAGGAGGAAGAGGAAGAGGAGGAGGAGGAGGAAGAGGAGGAGGAGGAGGAGGAAGGTACCAGTGTCTTGCCAGTTTGGACAGGCTTGATGGGGCTGAAGAGGGGGAGTAGGGGCTTGGTGGAGGAGACAGTTCCAGTCCCAGGTAGCTCTGAGGGACTGGCAGGAGCACCCACTGTCTGGCCTAAGGAGCCCAGCAGCAGCACCTGGCGGCAGATTTGCTCAGTCATTTGCATCTGATGGATCTGCCTTTGCTGCAGTACCCGCAGCTCTTCCAAGATCAGAGGAATGTTCAAGTGGCCGCTGCTTACGCCAGGGGGGGGAGGGGGAGGCAGAGGAGGAGGGGGGACAGAGGTGGATTCTGGAGGCAATGGGGTTGCTCCCAGCTTGGGACTGGCCAAGATCAGGCCCCCACCTCCCCCAGGCGCTGTACCTGTGGCAGCGACCAGGAAATGCCCTGATGATTCTTCTCCTCCTCTCCTCTCTGGGCCCCAGGTGGAATCTGTGGGCCCGGAGGACCCAGAGTCCGGGGGATTGCTATGCTCTGTGTCCATGGCCTGGGGACTATTGTGGCCTTCTGGCCGGGATTCTGAAGATGCTGAAGCGTTGTTGGGGTTTTCCTGGCTCCCCATGATCACCATTACAGGAGGATCAGTAGCACAAGCATTCTGGTGAGCGAGGAATTCAGAAGGGTCAGTGAATTGTGCGCAGCATTTGGCACAGACTTGGGGGTGCTCCTCCTCGCTAGCTTCACCTGGGGAGAAGACAAGGAGAGATCGTGGTGGTGCCATTGGGTTGTGTCTGCACAGAATCTAGAAGCCCAATACCGCTAGTGGGGGCGGGGGGGGGGGGGGGCTCACCATGAGGCCGGCCCTGACCTGCGGGGACCCTAATTCCCCAACAGAGGATCTGGGCGGCTGGGGGAGGGGGCACACACTCTACTGCCCTCTCCTGACACCGCCCCCCTCTCCTCCGCGGGAGAGGGGGAATGGCTGTGAAACCTAGGCCCTACTCGAGAATCATGCATTTTATCGCACCCACTTAATCCTTACTCCCCGAGGCGCGTCCCCTCCGCCCCCACCTCGGCCCAAGCCAGGCCCTACCGCACCTCCAAGCTCCGCAGATTCCCCGCAGGCCCCCCGGAGATGAGAGCTCTTCCCGGCTTCAAGCGCCATGGCGGGGATGGGGACGGATGGGGTGGGGAACAATGGGGAACGGGAATGGGGAGGCGACTGCGGCAGGAGCTGCGGCAGCCTCTGCACCCAGCGGCCCAGACTGCGGAGAGGGAGAGCGGCGGGGGCGGGGCGGAGCAGCGGCGGAGGGGGAGGGTGCGCGGAGGGGGAAGGGGGGAAGGGGCGGAGTTGGGCGGGAAAACTGGGAGAGGGGAGACGGGGAGGAGGGGGTGTGGGGAGGAGCAAGAGCTGGAAGGGGAGGGAGCCGGGAGGGTGGGGGCGGGTAGGCGGGGTGGGGAGGCCGTAGGGTGTTTGGGGACAGGTGCTTTGGCTCAAGGCGGGGGTTCCACCTTTCCAGCCTTCCGCCAGGTCCCCCCACCCCCTGTCTTGGTCCAGGCTTGCCCCCACCCAGTAAGCTCAGGGGCACGGTGGGAAACCGAGTCCTGCTCAACAGAGCAAAGCCATAGACTTGTCTTATTTTTCTTAGGATAAAGGATTCTCTGAGCCTCGAAAATGTGGATTACGGAAGGTGGCCTGATCTCAAAAGGTCTGTGGTCCAGACGGGAAGAGGAGGCCAAAAACATCCGCTCCTCACCAGCACCTCACCACTCAAATTTTGTCCGGATGCCCTCACTTCCATTCCCACCCTACCCCCAACCCTCTACCACAAAAGAAGTTTCTCAGGGTGGGTAGCCGCAAGATAGAATTTCCCAGGAAGTCATTTCAGGTCTCCTTTCCAAAGAACACTTACCCCTTTAATCCCCCGCCCCTCATCCCCCACAATAATAGCTGAGTGCAAAGCTACTTTACAGATCACCAAGCCAACGCTTAATTTATAGTTCCTGCTTACTGAAGCCATCTCCTATTCAGTACCTGCTTTCCCTTCTCCTCTCTTTAAACATTAAGGATGGTGGGTCCCTTTGAGCTTTTTTGCCCAAAATCTAAGATGGCCTGCCCAACTCTAACCTGGGGGGAAAAAAGCTCCACTTCGGACACCGGGAAAATTCAACTTGGTTTGAATGACACCTGCTGTATAGAAGAGAGGCTAAGTAGGTCTCCTCCTCACCCTCCTGCTGGGGAATAAACAAACCCAGGACTTATGGGAGGCAAACGCCCCACCTTGAGCTACACCACCAGCCCTTGGGTTGAGACAGGGTATGTAGTCCAGGTTGGCTTCAAACCCAACATCCTCCTGCCTCTGCCTCCAGTGCTGAGACCATCTCACCTGCCTCTCTTTCTTCCTTGAAATAAATCTTGAAGGGTTTATCATTTTGTAAAATACTTTATCCTACATACAAGAAGTGATTCTTCTGGTTCCAGTTCTATCTTGCCTGGCTGGTAAACTGAGGCATACTGGCCAGTTACACCACAAATGTACAATTTCCCTTTTTGTAAAGTGGTAATATTGTAGTTACACTGTCTTCTTCAAGGAAATATCATGATGAAAGAAATGAAGTCTGGGGCATGGCTTAAGTGGTAGAGCACCAGGGCCCGAGTTCAAATCCTATAGGACAAAAAAAATGAAAATAAAGCACAAATGCTAGTCAGTAATTCCAGCTACTCAGTAGGCTGTCTTGGAAGTTCATGGTTCTATGAAGCCAGCACAAGCAGAAAAATCTCCAAAATAACCAGCAAAAAGATATTGTGGGGCTGGGAAGGTGGCTCAGTGGTAGAGCACTTGCCTTGCATGCTTGAGGCCCTGGGTTCGATTCCTCAGCACCACATAAGAAAAAAGCCAGAAGTGGCGCTGTGGCTCAAGTGGTAGAGTGCTAGCTTTGAGCTGAAGAGCTGAGGGACAGCGCCCAGGCCCAGAGTTCAGGCCCACGACCAGACCCCCCCCCCCCAAAAAAAAAAAAGATATTGTGGCTCAAGTGATAGAGCATCAGCTAAGTAAGCCCAAAAGCTGGAGGTCCTAAATTCAAACCCTAGTACCTGCAAAAACAACAAGTGGAGGCGTGGCTGAAATTATAGAGTGGTAGCCTTGACCAAAAAGGCCAAGTGAGATGAGAGCTGGGTGCCAGTGGCTCATTCCTGTAATTCTAGTCATTCAAGAGCCTGAGATCTGAGGATCAAGGTTCAAAGCCAACCTAGCAAGGAAAGTCCCTTGAGACACTTAGCTCTAACCACCAAAAAGCCAGAAATGAAGTTATGGCTCAAGTGGTAGAGTACTAGCTTTGAGCAAAAAAGCTCGGGGACAGCAACCAAGCCCTAAGTTCAAGCCCCAGGAAGAAAATCCTTTTTGTTGTGTGTGTATCTGAGATAGGACCTACAGACTTGTACTAAGTGCTCAGTCACTGAACCATATAGTAGCCTAAACAACTTTGGACCAGCCCAGCACCAGTGGCTCACGCCTTTAATCCTAGCTACTCAGTAGGCTAAGATCTGAGGATAGCGGTTCAAAAACAGCCCAGACAGGAAAGTCCTTGAAACTCTTATCTCCAATAAGCCACCAGAAAACTGAAGTGGTGCTGTGGCTCCTGTGGTAGAGCGCTAGCCTTGAGCTGAAGAGCTGAGGGACAGCACCCAGGCCTAGAACTCAAGCCCTATGACAGGGAAAAAAAAAAAAAACTTTGGACAACTGGGGCTGAGATCTGAGGATCGTGGTTCAAAGCCAGCCCAGGCAGGAAAGTCCGTGAGACTCTTATCTTCAATAAACTACTCTGAAAACTGGAAGTGGCTCTGTGGCTCAAGTTGTAGAGTGCTAATCTTGAGCTGAAGAGCCCAGGCCCAGAGGTCAAGCCCGACAACCCATTTAAAAAATATATATGTATATATATTTATAGGTGTGATTTTTTTTTTTTTTTTGTCAGTTGTGGGGCTTGAACTCTGGGCCTGGGCACTGTCCCTCAGCTACTTCAGCTCAAGGCGAGCGCTCTACCACTTGAGCTACAGCGCCACTTCCAGTTTTCTGGTGGTTTATTGGAGATAGGAGTCTCACGGTCTCTCCTGCCCGGGCTGGCTTTGAACCGTAATCCTCAGATCTCAGCCTCCTGAGTAGCTAGGATTACAGGCGTGAGCCACCAGCGCCCGGCTAGGTGTGATTTTTTTAAAGTTTGAATAGTCCTAAATATTATTAGGGAATTTACATTATCAATAATAAAATAATCAAAGTAACCTAAAATGCACGTATACTAAAATGAAAAGTTTTCCAGGTTTCTTGTTAAATATATATCCCCACTCTGGGATGAAACCAGGACCTTGCTCATGTTAGGCAGGCCCTGTTCGTTTTAGCTACACCTTCACCCACCACCAATCTTTCATTTTTTTTGTCAGTCGTGGAGCCTGAACTCTGGGCCTGGGGCTGTCCCTCAGCTCTTCAGCTCAAGGCTAGCACTCTACTGCTTGAGTCACAGCACCACTTCCAGCCTTTTCTACTTATGTGGTGCTGAGGAGTCGACCTCAGGGCCTCATGCATGCGAGGCAAGCACTCTATCAATGAGCCACCTTCCCAGCCTCCACCCCCTTTTTTTGATTGATCATGGGGCTTGAACTCTGGGCCTGGGCGCCGTCCCTCACCTCTTCAGTTCAAGGCTAATGCCCTACCTCTTGAGTCACAGTGCCACTTCGGTTTTCTAGTAGTTTATTGGAGATAAGAGTCTCATGACTTTCCTTCTCAGGCTGGCTTTGAACTGTGATTCTCAAATCTCAGCCTCCTGAGTAGGTAGGATTACAGGCCTGAGCCACCCTGGCCCAGCTCCCACCACCAATCTTATTATTTTGTGCAAGTACTAGGGCTTGAAGTTAGCCTAGGTATTGTCCCTTAGCTTTTCTTACTAGCGTGTGCCACCATGTAGGTAATTTGTAAACTATTGATTGGTATCATTGGCATGACAAGATTAAGTAATCTGGGCTGGGAAGGTGGCTCTGTGGTAGAGCGCTGGCCTTGCACGTTTGAGTCCCTGGGTTCAATTCCTCAGCACCACATAAACAGAAAAAGCTGGAAGTGGCGCTATGGCTCAAGTGGTAGAGAGCCAGCCTTGATCTGAAGAGCTGAGGGACAGCGCCTAGGTCCAGAGTTCAAGTCCTAGGACAGACAAAAAAAAAAAAAAATTAAGTAATCCTAGCTATTCAGGAAGTTGAGATCTGAGGATAAGGGTTTGAAGCCAGCCTACACAGGAAAGTCTGTGAGACTCTTATCTCCAATTAAAAGCCAGAATGGATCTGTGGCTTAAGTGGTAGAGTGTTAGCCTTAAGCAAAAAAGCTCAGGGACTATACACAGGCCCTGAGTTCAAACCTCAATACTACAGTACACTCACACGTAATTAAGATTAAGGTATCTTTTAGATATAATCTAATTACAATATTAGAACTGAATTAAAATATGGGGTTGACTTTCAGTACAAGTTTTGCCTGTTTGCCTGTTTTAGCATTGTTTATCACAGCTTCAAAACAGATGGAGCTCTATGCTTCAGGTTTGGCCCTTATAAATGAGGAGAGGGGTTTATTTCAGTCACCTCAAGTCAGAGGTTAATGCAATGCAGTTTATTTAGACAGATAAGGAAATTGAAGCCTGGAGAGGTTAAGTGACTTTTCCAAGTTCACATAGGAATTCAGCAAAGTAGCATTCATTCACAATTTTGAATCTTGTCCAATGCTTTTTCAAGCACATCGACATTGTGTACATTCCCTAATGCCAGATAAAGGGCCCTGTGTACCTCCTACTTGCCTTTTGCTCTTTTGGCCTCAGTAAGAGAGAGGGAATCAGATGGAGACTTTCTACTGAGCATTTGTTAATTAGCAGCGAACATCTGATACCCAGTTGCTGTTTTGTCAAGTCTTCTGACAAAAAAAAAAAATCTTTTCCTTTTATCATCTCCTGGGAAACACTGTCCTCTTTCTTGCTCTTTAATGAAACAGGCTTTCTGATGGGTAATTTGACCTGCACTCTTCTTTAAAGTAAATTTAGTCGTTGGTGAAAGGTGATGGCTCAGCAGTCACCTGTAAGAGGAACCCTCTACCTCTCAGCACTTTACACTTATGGCCTGTCCTGAAAGGAGGTGGGAGTGGGGGTGGGAGGGTGAGGATCTTATGCTACATGAATAAAGATACAAACACAGGAACAAACTAAGCTGGTACATAGATAGCAG